AGAATTCCTCTCCAGTAGCTTTCCCCTTGCTCCCTCTAATCCTGAGTTGGGTTTTGGATCAAGTTGGGGGGCAGAGGACTTGACCTTTGAGGTGGAGCAGTTTAGGAATTACAAAATACAATGTAGCTTAGATGCTGTCTTCAGGGCCTGCCATGGCAGGAATCAGCAGAGTTCATTATGAGAACAATCCAGGCTCTCAGTGCTGCATATGGGGTTGGGCTATTCTGTTACTTTTAAGCATTAATCATCACCCTTTCATTCTTCAGGTGACAGAGATTGGCAAAGATGTCATTGGGCTGCGGATCAGCCCCCTCCAGTTCCGCTGAGGTGTGAGACCAGAGGGAGATGGCCCTGTTTCACAGCATGATGTGGAAACTTCCACCTCCCACCGTTCCAGCTTCTAGTCATATCCCTTCACTGTAGCTGTATCTGTGCTGTGTCTTAACTGCTCTTCCCCACCCAGGAATGCTGTAGTGAGGCTCTCTGCTGCTTCTAAGTAGTAATAACTTGGAATCCCCTTTCAGATCCAGCTAATGTTGTGTTTCTGTACCGTTGCTTCCAGTCACATCTTTTCCAGAGTGTATAATGTGGCTCTTGCTGAGACCTATATATTATAGTGGACTCAATAGGAGCTGTTCAAGAGGCACTGCTTGCCTCTCACACTCTTTAATGTTGGTCTCGTTAAAGATCCTGTAGCACATGGATGGCAGAAGCAGCTGAGCCTGACTTGTAGAAGCTGGCACTGTCTGGAACTGGGGCCAGCACAGCACTCTCAGAAGTGACTGGAGAGCAGCTCAGCACCCAAGTGCTTGTGTTGACTCTTTGTTTTGTTGTCCTAGCAGCATTTCTCTGCATAATCTGGCTCTAACATGAATAAAGTGAATTGACTGCCTTGATCTTCCTGTTCTGTAGCTTAGCTCTTAGATACCATGTTATACTTCCTCTTTCCATGTCACCCACCCCACCCCTTTGTGTTGTTAGGCTGCCAGATAACAATTTTCTCTATTTCCAAAAAATAGATAATACAATACTGAAATAATCATGCTGGCAGGAGTTGCTTCTGCTAATTCTTAGTGTGTAACTGCAGCTGCCTGTGCTCCAGCTATCTTCATGCTCATTACCTCATGCCCTTGTACCAGTTGGTGTTGCTGTGCTTTCCTCAGGGTAAGCAGCAGACTGGAGGATCATCCTTGTTGGGCAGATTGCACTTTGGAGCAGAGATGAGTGAGAACACGTGTTCTTGCATCAGCAGAGAGAACCTAGAGCTCTTGCTCCCTCTGGGGCTGCACTAGTTGCTTGGTATTTTCTCTGAAATAAAGTAAGGCTTTATGATAGGATTTTAAACCTTTATTCATAAAAACAAGGAGTGGGGATGTTGTGGCATTTGTTCCACGTTTGCAAGGGTCTTGGTTGAGGAATGTTCACAGTGGGGGTGAGATGAGGCTGTTGGGACTAGGGGCGAGGAGGCTGAACGAGCAGTGCATCGTGGCAGGCCACTGCAATGCCTCCTATGAGATTCAGGAACTCCTGGAAGTCCAGTTGCCCATCACTGTTGATATCAAGCCTCTTCATCATCCTGTCCACAACAGCAGGGTCCTTCTGATTCTGCAAGAGAACGAAGGAGGGGATCATTGTCTGCCTCGAGGAAAAGGCACCCCCAAGTATGGAAGTCCAACCCCAGCACAGCTTTGACAAAAGGAGCAGCATCAATTTGGGGTAGTGCTGGTCAGGTTGTGCTCTGCTTGTGGAAATCAGGGCTTTCTCCTCCATGCTGTGGTGAAGACACAGGTTTTCACTGCCCTGGGAGCCTCCTGGCCTGGCTTTCACTCACCTTTGTAAAGGAAGCCAGCTCGGTGTTCATGAAAGCCAGGAATTCCTTCTTGGAGAGCTTGAGGTTGTCTCCTTCACGCCCTGCGTACCGCTGGAAGACGGCCAGCAGCGACTCTATGCAGCGCTCGGTCTCAGTAGGGGAAACCTTGGACTGTGGAGCAGAAAAGGGGCTCAGTGTGTGCTTGCAGCTTGCTCTGCCTTTGCAGAAGGGTCGTGGCTCCTAGAGGAAGGCTCAGGGCCACCTGCCATCCATTGTTTCCTGTGCCCAACCTGTCCAGCTGCATTTTTCTCTCGTATTCATTTCTTTCTTGCTCAGCACAGCCCTGTGGTGAGGAGGGATGGGAGTGGTGCAGAGCAGGGAGTGGTGGCTGCTATAGGGCTGCAGCGGCTCCTGGCAACTCTGGGAACATGGAAACTTCCCTGGGGAACCATCAGTTGACATAGGGGTGAGGGCAGCTGCCTCTTCCTGAAGTCTTGCTGCCTTCCTCTGTGCTCTCCAGTACTACTTGGCTGTGCCTGTATGATATCTTCCCCTTCTCCCCATCCCCCCTCCCTTGCATTGTCTGGTCAGAGCAGAAACTCTGAGTCACTGGTGAAAAATGCGATGGGGCTGGCACCCAACTGCAGCCAGAACTTGGGGAGCTGGGCTGCTCCAGCAGGATGAGGTTAAGGCACAAAGCAATGGGCAGAAGGGGGATGTGGAGCTCTTCCCCGTCCCGTGGCTCCAGTCTTGCAGGCAGGGCTGAGTGGAATCTGCCCTTCCCTCTCCAACCTCAGCATCCTCGGGCCTCGCTGCCACATCCTGCGCTGCCCGAGGCCCCGTTCCACTCCTATTTGGTGGACCTGCACCTCGGAGCTTCCTCCCCCCTCTGCCTCGCCTCTCGGTTCCTTCGTATCCCCCACCCTGGACCAGAACTGCAGCCCCCAGCGCAGGGTCCAAGAGAGCGGATGGAGCAAAGAGAAAGCTTGCTGCACCCCCACAACCACAGGGACCCTCTGCTCTCCTCCCCTCCACCCCTCCCTGCGCCCAGGCTCCTCCTTGAGCTCCTCAGCCCAGCTTTTGGCACTTTTCGACGCGTCCCGCTGCGCTTCTGCTTCCCCCCCCCGCCTTGCGCTCACTCACCATGGCTGGGGTTGGGGGCTCGGTGCGGTGTTCGCGGTGCGGTGCTCGGCGTTGTGCAGCAGTTGAGGGCGGTGTGAGCCTCGCCCAGCAGCGCCCGGCCCTGGTTCAGCCCCCCCCGGGGCCACGTTGGGCAATCGGCGGCTGTAACGGCGGATCGGGACGTGCCTGCGGTCCCCACGTCGGCCTGTGCCCCTCCCTTCCCTTCTGCGTTGTAGTTTTTGCAGTTATCACGCTTCCATTTTGTTTTCTCTATTTCTTCTCTCTCCTTTTTTTTTTTTTTTTCCCCTTCTTTTTTTTTATGCCTTTTTTTTACACCTTTACATCTCTCTTCGTTTCTCCTTCCCCAAAGCTTAGGGCTGAGCACCCAGTGCTGCCCCGCTGCTCCTTGCAGCATCCCTGGGGTTTGCTTTTGATTTGGGCATCCCTAAAGGCAGCTTGCCCCATCTCCCTGCCTCTTCTCACTGCCCAGAATACCCTGTTATGTGCTCCCCCCCTGTAATGGGGCTGCTTAGAGCTAGGATGGGGCTGTGGGGGTCAGATGGGCACAGGGGGAACACCGGAGCTGCTCAGGCATGTTGGGTGCACCCACGCCTGCTCAGGAATTCCTGCTGGAAACTGTGATTCAGAGCAGGGGAAAATTCAGAGCAGTCAGGAAATGGGTGTGGAGGGACCCTTCCCCCATCTGATTTCCCTCATTTATTGCCCCACGTGTTGGAAATAATAATTAAAAAAGAAGTTGCTTTTTCTTTTCCTCAAACTCCAACCTCTACTAAATTGGAAGCAGCTCATTGCCAACAGAACAGACCTGAGCAGGAAGGCTGCTGCTCTGCAGGCTTTGCACTTCCCCCTGTGCTTTGCACTTCCCTCTGTGTCCTGAACCTGGAAATAAAAGCTGGGCCGGGGGCTGAGTGCCATTTCCCACCTTTGCAAGAGGAAATCCCAGCAGGGCTGTGCCTGGCCCAGTGCTGTCTGTAATACGGGGTCGTGGGAGGTTTCTGCTGCTGCTGTGTTTGCTATGGAGGCGTTGGCAGTGTGTGCAGACAGCCCATCTGTGCTGCTGTGCGTTTGTCACCGGGACACACAGCAGTTGTGTGCAAAGGGGGGTGGGGGGAAGCAGAGCAATGTGGCTGGATGGGGCAGGGTCTGTTGAGAGGAGATCTGAGGGGGGCTCCTGGCTGCGTGTCCTGGCGTGCATCTCAGATCAAACCATGTGAGTAGGACCCACTGAAAGCAATGGGCATGTAGTAGGAGGATTTGGTGTGATTATAGCAGCCCCTGTCTGGATTCGGTGCCTGAAACAAGGAGAGATCTGAACTGAGACACCCTCCCAGCAGACTGAGCCTCTGTATAAATTACAGACGAAGACAGCAGCAGGCAGTGCAGTCATCAGCTATTTATTATGATTTTTCATGCAATACATCAGTGTGAAGAAGAAACCCCAATGCACCCTCCACCACCATTTCCCTGTGGTATCCACACAGAGCTTTGCCACTTCAAAGCCTCCGTGATGCTGGGGTTGGAATTCTGCTCAGCTGCTGGGAGAGCAGAAAGGTGTGACCAAAAACTTTGAGCCTACAGAGGTGTTTTCCCAGCCTTGAGGAATTTCAGGCTCCAGGAGTACAATCAAGTGAATGGGATTTTTTGTTTGTGCAGTGCACAGTAGAATCTGATAAGCAGCAGAGCCAGCCACGGGGCGAGGGAGACAAACCACTGAAGTGCAGAGCTGTCATGTCACAGGGCAGAAGAGATGACAGGAACACAAAAGACTGAGACCCAAGGAACCCAATTAGAGCAGGAAACTAACTAAATAACTGCAGTGGGGGGGGAAGGAAGGGGGGCATAGACATAAAGAGGGCAGGCAGGAGCTTCTGATCCTGGCATAGCTCTCTACCTGTCTGTGTTGCTGAGGGTTTGTCAGGACGGGAATCCCCAAAGCCTCTCACCCCCTTTGTGTTGAGCACTTCAATGTCACCATGTGGTCACATCCTAAGTGTAGGGTAGAAGATGCTCAGAGGAGCCCCGTGGGTGCTACAGACGGGATAACCCTTCAGGGTGCCTTGGCCTCATCCCCGGTAGGATGGCTTTGTTCTTGTGGGGCCATGGGACTGTGTTCCTCCTCATGTTGAGGCTGAGTGGTACCCTCTTGCTGGGAGCTCCTTTTGCTGTTTTCCTCTTCTCGTGTCTGGCGGCTCCTCTCTGCTGAGGGGAGCTCTGCATCCTCGTGGCAGCAGCCAGCTTCGTCCTTTTGGGGTACTGGGTGATGTGGCTCCTCTTCAGCTTGCTGGCCCTGCTTGTGAGCTTCCTGCAGCTCTGGAGCCCGGGATGGAGGTGGTTGGCTCTTGGCCTCCCTGTCTTTGTTTCCTTGGGATTCGGCTTCCTGTGAGACTTCCTCTCCAGTGTCTTTTGGTCCATCACCCTCTGGCTGACGATTCTTCTCTTCCACATCATGCACCCAGGGACTCTGGTGGTCCCTCCTGTCTTCCCTGGGCTCAGCCTGGCTGGTGTCACCCTTCAAGCCATCCAACTCAGGGGCAGAAGCCTGCTGAGCCCCTTCCTTTACCGCTGTTGCAGACCTTTCCCGAGTCTCACCTTTCCTAGGCTCCTTGAGCTCCCTTGCATTTTCCTGGGAAGATGGCAGATGCTGCGGTTCGGGCTCCAGGACACTGCTGTCTTTGCACGGCCCAGCTGGTGGCTGTGGTGAAACGTAGCATTTCCTTACATAGACAGGCTGCTCTGAGTCATTGGACTGCTGACAGATGATCTCATATGTGGTAGCTTTGGGATCATTCAGGTTCTGGATAACATGGATCAAATATGCGATGGTCTGAGGCTCACAGGGCTCAGGGACAGTCTGTACCTCTGGGTGTACATCAGGGTCAGAGGGAATATAGCGGACCCTCACATCAGTGACAGATGGTACTTCTCCACGGGGGATGAGGTCTTTACTATCAATGTCCACAGTTTGGTAGAGGCTTCTGTCCTGCCTTCTTCCCTGATCATCGCGTACTGGGAACCTATTTTGCTCCACTTCCAGGTCCTGCTGACGATCAAGCCTCCTTTCCTTTACAGTGGCCTCTTCCCTCACTTGTGCCCGTACTGTCCTCCTCTCCACCACAGGTTCCTCATGTCTATGCAGACGATCTCTCCTCTCTACGTCCTCACGGCAGGTCTCCACTTCAGCTGCAGCCACAGTTTCCTCTTGAGTCCTTGCATACGTCACCAATTTACGTGGTCTCCTGGCCTCTTCTTCATGCAACCGTTCTCTGGAAACGTGGCGGATCTCTACATCAGCTTCAGCTTCAGCCACAATGTCCTCTTGTGTCCTCTGGAACCTGGCTAATTCTTGTGGCCTCCTGGCCTCCTCTTCTCTCACCCTTTCTTGGGTCACACGTTGGATCTCCACATCAGCTTCAGCTTCAGCCACAATATCCTCCTGTGTCCGTTCATACCTCACTGATTCACGGGGTCTCCTGGCTTCCTCTACTACGTCTCCTTTTCGGGTCACACGTCTGATCTCCACATCGGCTTCAGCTTCAGCCACAATGTCCTCCTGTGTCTTCACGTACCTTGCCGTTTCATGGGGTCTCCTGGCCTCTCCTCTGCCCCTTTCTTGGGTCACACGTCGGATCTCCACATCAGCTTCAGCTTCAGCCTCAATGTCCTCCCGTGTCCGTTCATACCTCACTGATTCACGGGGTCTCCGGGCCTCGTCTTGTCTCTCCCGTTTGCGGGTAACACGTCGGATCTCCACATCAGCTTCAGCTTCAGCCTCAATGTCCTCCCGTGTCTTCACATACCTCGCTGTTTCCCCGCGTCTCCTGGCCTCCTCTCTGTCCCTTTCTTGGGTCACACGGTGGATCTCTACATCAGCTTCAACTTCAGCCTCAATGTCCTCTCGTGTCCGTTCATACCTCACTGATTCACGAGGTCTCCTGGCTTCCTCTTCTCTCTCCCGTTCGCGGGATTCACGGTGGATCTCCACATCTGCTTCAGCTTCAGCTACGATCTCCTCCCGTGTCTTCACGTACCTTCCTGAATCACGGGTTCTAGTATCGTCTTGTCTCCCGCGTTCTTGGGTTACACGTCGGATCTCCACATCAGCTTGGGCTTCTGCCTCAATGTCCTCCCGTGTCCGTTCATACCTCACTGATTCACGGGGTCTCCTGGCCTGCTTTTGTCTCTCCCGTTCACGGGTCACACGTTGGATCTCCACATCAGCTTCAGCTTCAGCCTCAATGTCCTCCCGTGTCTTCACATACCTCGCTGTTTCCCCGCGTCTCCTGGCCTCTTCTCTGTCCCTTACTTGGGTTACGCGGCGGATCTGTACATCAGCTTCAGCTTCAGCTACAATATCCTCTCGTGTCCTCTCAGATCTCACCAATTCACGAGGTCTCCTGGCTTCCTCTTCTCTCTCCCGTTCGCGGGATACACGGCGGATCTCCACATCTCCTTCCACTTCAGCTACGATGTCCTCCTGTGTTTTCACGTACCTTCCTGAATCACGGGGTCTCGTATCGTCTTGTCTCCCGTGTTCCTGGGACACCCGTCGGATCTCCACATCTGCTTCAGCTTCAGCTACAATGTCCTCCCGCGTCTTCACATACCTCACCGTCTCACGAGGTCTCCTGGCCTCTTCTCTGTTCCTTTCTTGTGTTACACGTCGGATCCCCACATCAGCTTGGGCTTCAGCTACAATATCTTCTCGTGTCCTCTCAGACCTCACTGATTCACGGGGTCTCCTTGCCTCTTCTCTCTCCCTTGTTCGGGTCACACGTCGGATCTCCACATCTGCTTCAGCTTCAGCCCCAATGTCCTCCCGTGTCCGTTCATACCTCACTGATTCACGGGGTCTCCTGGCTTCTTCTCTGTCCCTTGTTCGGGTTACACGTCGGATCTCCACATCTGCTTCAGCTTCAGCCACAATGTCCTCCCGTGTCCGTTCATACCTCACTGGCTCACGGGGTCTCCTGGCCTCCTCTTTTCTCTCCCGTTCGCGGATCACACGTCGGATCTCTACATCAGCTTGGGCTTCAGCCTCAATGTCCTCCCTTGTCCGCTCAGACCTCACTGGCTCACGTGGTCTCCCTGCCTCTTCTCTCTCCCTTGTTCGGGTCACACGTTGGATCTCCACATCGGCTTCAGCTTCAGACACAATGTCCTCCCGTGTCTTCACATACCTGACCGTTTCACGGGGTCTCCTGGCCTCTTCTCTGTTCCTTTCTTGGATTACACGTCGGATCTCTACATCGGCTTCAGCTTCAGCGTCAATGTCCTCCTGTGTTTTCACATACCTGACCATTTTACGGGGTCTCCTGGCCTCATCTCTGTCCCTTTCTTGGGTCACACGGCGGATCTCTACATCAGCTTCAGCTTCAGCTACAATATCCTCTCGTGTCCTCTCAGACCTCACGAAATCACGGGGTCTCCTGGCTTCTTCTCTCTCCCTTTCTTGGGTTACACGTTGGATCTCCACGTCAGCTTCAGCTTCAGCCTCAATGTCCTCCCGTGTCTTCACATACCTCTCCGACTCACGGGGTCTCCTGGCCTCTTCTCTGTCCCTTACTTGGGTCACACGGCGGATCTGTACATCAGCTTCAGCTTCAGCTACAATATCCTCTCGTGTCCTCTCAGATCTCACCAATTCACGGGGTCTCCTGGCTTCCTCTTCTCTCTCCCATTCGCGGGATACACGGCGGATCTCCACATCTCCTTCCACTTCAGCTACGATGTCCTCCCGTGTTTTCACGTACCTTCCTGAATCACGGGGTCTCGTGTCGTCTTGTCTCCCGTGTTCCTGGGACACCCGTCGGATCTCCACATCTGCTTCAGCTTCAGCCTCAATGTCCTCCCGTGTCCTTTCATACCACACTGATTCTCGGGGTCTCCTGGCCTCTTCTCTGTTCCTTTCTTGTGTTACACGTTGGATCTCCACATCAGCTTCAGCCTCAAAGTCCTCCTGTGTTCGCTCAGACCTCACTGGCTCACGTGGTCTCCTTGCCTCTTCTCTCTCCCGTTCGCGGGTCACACGGCGGATCTCCACATCAGCTTGGGCTTCAGCCTCAATGTCCTCCCCTGTCTTCACATACCTCTCCGTTTCACGGGGTCTCCTGGCCTCTTGTCTGTCCCGTTCGCGGGTCACACGTTGGATCTCCACATCTGCTTGGGCTTCAGCCTCAATGTCCTCCCGTGTCTGCTCAGACCTCACTGATTCACGGGGTCTCCTGGCCTCTTCTCTGTCCCTTGTTCTTGTTATACGTCGGATCTCCACATCGGCTTCAGCTTCAGCTGCGATATCCTCCCGTGTCTTCACATACCTGACCGACTCATGGGGTCTCCTGCCCTCTTCTCTGTCCCTTTCTCGGGTTACACGTCGGATCTCCACATTGGCTTCGGCTTCAGCTACAATATCCTCTCGTATCCTCACAGATCTCACCAATTCCCGAGGTCTCCTGGCCTCTTCTCTGTCCCTTTCTTGGGTTACACGGCGAATCTCCACATCTGCTTCAGCTTCAGCCTCAATGTCCTCCTGTGTCCGTTCATACCTCACTGATTCACGGGGTCTCCTGGCTTCCTCTTCTCTCTCCCTGTTTTGTATCACACGTCGGATCTCTACATCAGCTTCAGCTTCAGCCACAGTGTCTTCTCTTGTCCTTTCATACGTCATGGATTCACGTGGTCTCCTATCCTTCTGTGTTTTCCCTTGTTCATAGTAGTCTTCTTCCAGCTTCCTTGTATTATTGTATCTGTGGTCTATTACTAGCGGTTCCTGGAGGTATGACTGATGCAGCCTTTCTGAATCCAGGTATTCAGGCCTGCACGGCTGGCGGCTGCTTCTTTCAAGTTCTTTTTGTTCCAGCTCACGTAGGTGGTTGCGGCTTCTCTCATCTTTGAGTAATTCAGGCTTTTGCATTTGATTGTGCCTTCCTTTATCTGCTTCTTTTGGCTCATGTGGCTGACGGCTGCTTCTTCCATGTGCCACTGCCTCTTGATCTTGTGGTCGATGGTTTCTTTGATCATACACTGGCAATGTTGATTCACGTGGCTGACGGCCACTCCGCCGGTCTGGCAGCAACTGTGGTTCACAGGAATGGCTGCAGCTCCTCACGTCTGCTAGTTGTCCTCGTTGAGGCTTCTCTTGATTTTGTCTCTCATCTCTCTGTGCTGTCTTCAAGCTGCCGCGCTTGTGGTTTTGTAAATCTCCCAGTCTGTCCAGCTCGGGTGGCTGACGTCTTCGGCTGCTTCGTTGGTCGCATGGCTCTTGGCTTTGTTCTTCATATTCCCGAGGGATCATTTCCCTCGGCCTGGTGCTTTGTCTTGCATCAGCTCTACTTTGTGTGTTACGTTGCTGGCGATGACTTCCCGTCTCCTCGTGTGTCTCAAGATCCTGGACCCTGGTGTCTCGCTGTGGCTCAGGTATGCAGGGGGGATGGCGATTGCGCTCAGGTGTTTGTGATTCCTCTTCCTGGAGCTGCTGACGGCTCCCTCTGTTCTTAATTTCAGGCTCTTGGACTGTCTTGCTGCTGGTTATCAGCTTTGTTCTTTGCAGAAGGCATTGTCCCCTCTGCAGGTACCAGTAGCAGGCCTTAGCCACTCTGAATACTAAAAGCAGGAACTCATTAAAATCGATTTCCCCATCCCCATCCCACTCCAGAAACTGCAGAATCTTGTCAATTGTCTGAGGGTCGTGTGGGTTCTGTGGGAAAAACACACGCAGAGAAACAAAAAGCCTTGCTATTCCTTGTCAGGTAATACAAACCCAGTGATCATGACAGTCTCTTCTACTTGCATCTCTCTTAGGTTCACTTTTGTTGCTCAGCATCTCCTCCATGGCTGTGTTCTCCATTTTCCTGGTGGTTCCCTGGCTACAGCTAAACATTTGGTGATGCCATATCCCTCCACTAGATGCATTTCTTTCCTATCTTTGAAAGTAAACCGCCTCACAGTTCTTTCTCCAATTTTTCCTGTTTGTTCACAGCAAAACCTACAGGAAGAGCTTTTGCAAACAGTACAAAACCACACATCTTCTGCTCCCCTTTGGCAAAAGCCTGCGTATCCCATTTCCCTCTGGTCACAAGAATCACTCCCTCTCCAGAAAGTTTTCTGGTCCCCACACTTCAATTTTGCCCTCAATCTTTTCCCATCACTGCAGCACTCACCACTATGGCATCTGCAAATTCCTTCTGGATGAACTCCTTCATCTTCCTTCGGTTGAGTTTGGATTGGTCTCCATCTTCCTTTGCATGTTGGTGAAAGACAGTAATGATGGTGGAAACGCTGTCTAAGAAGTGAGACATCTTTCTGCAGATTCAAGCAAGCCTGCAAGAAAAGTAGCAGACCTAAGGATGGGAGATTTTTTGACTGAGCATGGAAGAGGGGGAGGATTGCTGGGGTCAAGCTGTGCACATTAATGAGAGTCTGGGTGCCCTGAGCTGTGTGTCCGCTCCTCTACCATGGCAAGCTGTGCTTTACCAGGGCACTGGGAAGATATCCAGATGCTTAGGGGTTTTGGTGGGATGGGGAGTGTCCTCCAACTTGTCTGCTGACGTATTGGAATGACGTTTGGTATGGGATGGCAGGATGCCAGCATTTTTGGGTTGCAGGGAGGGGATTGGGGATGGTGATTCAAGAGACACCCCAAGAACCTGTCCCTGTGGGCTCTACCAGCTCCTTCAGTTTCCAGAACCAACGCAGCTCTTTCTGCTTGGCACTGAGATACACCAGCTCCTCTGGAAAGGTCAGAGGATGTCTAAAGCAGTCCTGGCACATCTTGAGGCAGGACTCAGCTTGGGCAGAGGTGGATAGAGCATTCACAGAGGGTTAAACAAGCCCCGTGACCAGCAGCAATGCAAATCAAGTAATGAATCTCATGTTACAGCACCAGCTTGTTGTCCAACAGATTTTGGCCGAAGAGAACAGTCAGATCACCCAGGTCAGAAATATTTATTGAATTCAATGGCAATCTCCTGGGCAGAAAGCAGTGCTTCTGTTTGAGCTTTGTGTCTGAAAACCTCAAATGCCATCTCTGTGCTCCTTTCAGGGTCCCCAAGCCTGTTATTGGCTGCTTTGGTGCCAGGATCTCGGCTTGCAGCTGGGGAAGCTGCTCCCTGCCTGCTTGCAGTGTGCACACATGCATGAACACATGCACGCACCTCTGCATGCAAAACCTGCGTCTTGCTATCTTTATGAAAAACCGAACGCTTCTTCAATCTGTTCCCCCCGGGTGGGAGACGAGTGCAGACCAAAGCGAGGTGCCAGACCTGGCTCAATCTCTCCTTTTTGTTTGGAGGAAAACTGCTTTTCCACACAACACACAACAAAGAGCACGCAGCCGTCCAAATGGCGAAAAATAACATTTCATGGCTGATAAACCCGAAAGACGCCCGGAAAATACTGCAGCAGAAACGTCACTGCCACCCAAGACAGATCCTACAGAAATCATTCATTTTCACCCAGCAAAGCATGCTTTTCAGAAGGAACGACTTACCCAAGTCACAACGGGATCGGATGGGATTCCTGTGAAGCCGTGCGGAGTGATCGGAGGACCCGAGCGCTTTTATAGGGTCCTTGGTGGAGGAGCAGAAAGGAGCCACCCTTTGTGGACATTGTCCTGATTCATCTTTGGCCAAACCCAGCTGCACCTTCATGTCCTCAAACGGGTTATTTAACTTATCATCCCATTACCTATCATTTTAACCCAGAAATAGCAGTTGCCATGTGGCAATTCAGGCATCTGCTGGTTCCGCCTAATCCGGACTGTAAAGTTATTTTATGGGCTGATTGTATTTCAGATTTAAAAAAAAAAAAAAAAAAAAAAAAAAGTCTAGACTGCCTATAAAGTATATATATACGTTAATGGGAGGACGTATTTTTTTATGAACGTGTATCTTCCTAGGTATGCATTTATGTATGCATAATACATGCACATAAAAATAGCACCAGAGTGAACCTGGGAGGGTGTTGTAAGCAGATGTGGAGACTTGCCCACTGTTTTGCAGATCCTTGGGGCTGGGGTCTAGCAGTTTGGCTTTGGGTTTTACTCACGGAGGAAGGGCAGAAGAAGCCCCAGGAACTACAGAAGTGAAATGTAGGTGGGCAGCAGAGACATCTCCAAATCCTGCAGGAGATCTCAGCTGGTGTGGTGATCTTGTAGCATGTGCTGAAATACATGTATTTTTTTTCTCCTTGCTAACTTCTTACTGAAGAGACTTTCATTGTGTTATCCGTGTTTTTTGTTGGGAAAAAAAAAAACAAAACCCAAACCAACAAAACTTTTGTGAACAGTCAAATCTGCAAAACGGACTTTTTAACCAGAAAACATCTATTCAACGTGCAACGACTTCTCATTGAGAAAAATGATGATACAACATGTTTTTATGTTAACTCTTCTCCGTGAGCGGATTTCATTCCAACTTTTCTTGATCTTTAATTAAAACTAAAAGTGGAAACGTCTCGGCTGGGAGCTCAATTCATGTTGAAGCTTCATCTGGTCGCTCTAGGCAACTTTTGCTGTAATTGCCTCTCCAATCCCCCCCCTTCCCTTTTTTTTCCTGAAAGTGTAAATGAATTAGAGACCAATGGGTTCCTTTATTGCTCCCAAACTCTCCCCATGCAGGGAGCATACAAGGAAAACTTTGGCCATGCCACTTGGGCTCTGTGTTGGAGCTGAGCTGTATGACATGACAGAGACATTGCGGGCAGCTCCGGAGCAGGAACTTGCCACACAGCCTTGGCTGAGCTGCTCATCTGTCCCATCTGATGGTAAGAACATACTGGGTGTAGGAGTCTAATTAATTAGTGCTGGTAACACCTTGGGGATACTCATACAAGTGCTCATGGAGGATTGTTACTAACCGTGCTTCATTTTTGAGCTTTTTTTCAGGATTAAATTATACTGGTGTAAATTATACCCCACCTGTGGGATAATGATACCCTTGGGAAACTGTAATTTTATGGTAGATTGCAGTTATTATTAAAATTAGAGCATTACAGTGTGGCTGGAGCTTGTATACAGTGTCCTATAACAGTCTGCAATCCCCGCAGGGGCTGGGGACATTGGGAGGCACCGGGCAAATTTTGGGTGTTAATAGAGGCAGCACCAAACCATGTTCTCCAAAGGCTTGGATGTCCCCAGAGGGGGCTCTCAGAAGGGGGATTTGGGTCAATTTTTCAGTGCTGTTACCCAGCAGGGTGGGCTCCATTCTCCTCTCTCCATCCAGTTCTGTGTGAACTGCTGTCTGTGTTCGTATAGGGTGGCCAAACCTCGTTTGGTTGTTGAGATCTCCTGTTGGTCATTGGGGTCATCCGTCAGTGGGTGTTTGGATCATCTGTCAATCAGTGAGATCATCCAATGATCATTGGGATTGCTCATTATTTAATGGGATCGTTCAGTGATCACTGGGATTGCCCATTGTTTAATAGGATCATCCATTGATTCTATGATTTAATCTCAGAAGAACTGTGCTCCTCATGGGGCATATAAAAGACTTTTTACACCTCCCGGCCTTGCAGGTGTCATAAACAGGTCCTTGTGTCTGCAGGGTGATTTTCTCTCTGCTGTAATGTTCTCCTTAAAATGAAGCAAAAAAAACCCCTCCCCCCAACTTCAAATGCAACACTCAAAAAGTATAATAATTCAGAGTAGTGTATATTTATCACATCATTAACAGGACTTGGGGGTCGTTTTTTTACTGGTGCTGCAAAAGGCTGTGGTTGATGGACTGAGGAGTCTGGTGATGGGAGAACTGAGGTGGGGCCAATAAGTAGCAGGGGGCTCTTCAACAGTCCTCAGCTGAGAGCTGTTTTGCAAGAAAAATGGCATTTTCTGGAAAGGAAAATGTTCTGAGGAACATCTCAGATGGAATGGGAGTTTTGATGGATTTGTGATGGAATTTAAATCTTGTCTGTCCCATTTCATTTTGACAACACTCACAGCTGCCACGAAGGTGGGTCAGGGTCTGCTTTCTCCATGTGTTTTATCATCACAAGAGCAGAGCGGTGTATTTTGTGTCCAGCGCATTTAACTGTGACATCAGCGCTCACAGACCAAATCATTTTCAAAAAGCGTCTTCTTAGAGATCATCTTGAAATGCTGCTTTTTTGGTTCTGATTCAGCACACAGCAAATTGTGAAATTCCGGTGTGTCCCGGAGCAGTGACGTCCTGTTTCCCGGTGAGGTCTCTGTGTTCTGCCTGTCACCGGCCACAGAGCAGGAGGTGCGGGTGCATTTATCATCCACTGATTTGGCTGATAGGTCACCGGCAAAAGATAATATGGGGAAAAACAGGCTGAGCATCACCTCCCTGCGGGATGCGGAATCCTGGTGGTCCGGCAAATCCAAACCCATAATAACCCCCCTGATTTCAGTGGGCTGCTTGCACCCACAGTCACCCACATCCCTACGTGCACATCCGGAGCCAGTACCCGAAATTCCCGAGGCTGGGGCCAGGTCCACGTGTGCATGGATTGCGTGTCAGCTTTTTGCACCCAGCCTCCCAGGTGTTACTGGGACCGTGTGTATGTGAATAATGGGGATTAATATCCCTCCGTTCCTCTCAGAGCATTCAGTAGCTAATAGGAATTTTCTATTTGCATACTGTGTTCCGCATCTCCCTCTTTTTTTTTCGGGACAGTCCAGGTCATAAAAAAGTCCTTTTGGGGTGAGAAAATAGAAGTAGATCTCAGGAAGCTACCTGGTGTTACTGGATTTGCCATAATTTCTGGCAGCAATTCAGTAATGGGGCAGTATATTGGTGGTAGATGGTTGGTCAAGATGATCCTAGAGGTCTTTTCCAACCTTAATAATTCTATAAATCTATTCTATAAATAAGACAAATCCCTCCCACTGAGCATTCAGAGCTCTTGGTTCTTTTTACAGCAGACACGCAGTGCCTGGAGCAGATGCACACTGCCAGGTAGCTGCTCAGAGGTCATCATGCCATCGCATCAATCCCAACGTTCACCCTCTCTGAAGACACTGGATGTCACATCCCTGCCTGCAGGGACCCATTGATTCACCTTGGGCTGCGTGCCCCCAGGACACAGCACTCCAGGGCCACGTGGCCCTGTGTCACGCATGGGATGGACACTGAGGTCCTTTGTGCTAGCTCAGAATGGTGCAGCAACACACCAGGACACTGTGCTGATTTGCAGTCAGTTTTATTGCTTTGCTTATACAGGCAGAGGCAGCCTAATACAGGATAAGAGAGAAGGTCTCAAGCCAGGAATAGTTCAGTACAAGCTAGGGGTGCAAGCCCAGGGTTAAGAAAGGTCAGACAAGATATGACAAATGGCACTGGACAAAATATCCCACCTTGCTGGCACCAAGAGCCACAGTTGCACAGGGCTCACTGCAGCTCTTACTTCCTCGGGGGCCACTGAGGCTGCAGGTGCTCCTGCTCTGCTGCATGTTTTCCTTTGCCATGAGCCCCATGTTGCTGTTGTCCTGGGACACGTTCAGCCTCAACACCACTGCCTTCTCGCACCGTCACTGTGAGGTCAGGAAGGTGAGCTGGGTCATGCCGGGTCCCTGAGGGCTGGGGATCCGGGTGGGGGCTCGTGCCTCTCACTGGAGGTGGCAGCTCTTGGGTCCCTTTGGGGTTGGGGTCCTGCCAAGGGGCTGCACGGTCCTTGGTCTTGTCCGTGGTTCTTTCTGGTGTCTTGGTGGGAGAAATGTGGCTCTGCTCTGCTGGTTCCAGCTCTTGTCTCTGGTGATGGTTCTGTCCCAGCTTTGGTGTCTCGGTCACTTTGTCCTGGTGGGGTTTGGGGTCATGTTTTGGTGTTTTTTCGGCTTTTTGGGTATTTCTGTCCTTCTCTGAGGTCTCAGTGATCACGTTTTCACCTCTCTTTGGACTCTCTTCTGGTGCCTTGGCTCTGCCATCCTGATGGGTGTTCTGGTTGTCCTTTGGCATCTCGCTCTTCTGTTTCTGTTGTGTGCCTTGGTTGTTCTTTGGTATCTCAACCTCCTGGGTCTTTTGAGTATCCGGAACCTTTGGTGTCTCACTCTTCTCAATCTTTTGGGTGTCCTGGTTCTTTGGTGTCCCACCTTCCTGATTCTGTTGGGTGTCTTGGTGCTTCTTTGGTTCCTCACCCTCCTGATGCTGCTGGGTGTCCTGATCCTGTTGGGGTGTCCCACCCTCCCACACCTGTTCACTCACCCCCTCCTCCAGGACCTGCTTGTGGTGCTGCTCCCCATCTGCCTCCTCCTGCACTGTCAGCTCCTGATCGTCTTCTGGCTCCAGGTACTGCTGGAGTTGCTTGTGGCAAGCCTTGGCCACGCGGAAAACCAGGTTGAGGAACTCATTAAAGTCAACCTTGCCACTGCTGTCTTCATCCAGGAAGAGCAACACCTTCTCAACAGTTCTGGGATCCCGGGCATCCTGCAAGGAAACATCAGCAAGGCCCATGAACCCTTTGCAGGACTTCACTGGGATCAATCACTCCAACAGAAAGCCATCCCCATGTGCCACCCATGTGGCACGTGTTGCTGGATCCTCACCATGATCACATCCTCAAACTCCTGCTCGATGAGCTGCCGCAGCTCCCCTCTGCTCAGCGTGCTGTAGTCGCCATCACTGCTGGCATAGGTGTAGAAGGTAGTGATGATGCCATTGATGTTCTCCTGGAGCTGGGCCATCTCCCCACAGAACAGAGGCAGCCTGCGAGAAAGATACCGAAAAAACAAAAACAAAAAAACTTTTGCTTGGTTTTCAGGTAAGCCCCTCTCATACAGCGCAGCTGGACAGGAAGATGAGCCAGAAGGACTCAACAAAACCAAACGGAGTGTTTTTCCCTTTAGGAGAGCTCAGCTCTGGGAAAATGCTCAAGGCCCTGAGCTCCCACTTTCCTCCAGGGTCTGTTTGGGCTTACCTGGGTGAGAAGAGCACGGTGTGCAGCCAACCTGCTCCCAGCAGCCTTATATACAGCAGCATCATGCAGGGAGACAGCGTCAGCAGGGTGCCGCATCCTCGCCCAATGAAACTGTCATCCCCCTGTCTTCATTTGTCTCTTGCTCATTAACTTCTGCTCTGGTGCTTTACACCGGAGTGAAGAGATGATCCTTCCTAAGCTCACCCCACCTGTGGACGCATTGCAGAGGAATTAAGCAGAAAAGGTTATTTTTAGTTCTGTGGGATTTAGCTGAAGGTGATGCCCAAGCAACACCCAGGTCTCTCTAGTGAACGTGTTTGGTGAGCGATGCGAGTGACTGACATGGGAGGAGGCAGGCTGGGAGTGCCCGTATGGGAATGAAGAGGAAACAGAACAAAGGGTAAAAAATAAGGATACACCATGCCCAGATCCAACTGACCCCTTCCCCAAAGTCCCACTTTTGGGTGCTGGCAGGGAGGCACCCGGCGAAGAAATCCTTTCCAACAGTGCCACCAAGTGGCACGCGGAGGGGGACAGAGGGGTGGCACGAGCTGCAGTCACCCCTGTACAGCGTGGGGAAACTGAGGCACAGTACGAGGAGGGGACACCTGCTCCTCGAGGTGGTGACAGCCCCAATGTGCCCCTGGTCCTGCAGGACGTGGCTACTAAGAGAGACTGAAAAATTGGAAATCCACACAGCTCATAATGTACGCTGGGTTTTGGGTACAGAAAATAACACACAGTTTTGTGCAAGAAAAGGCATTTTCAGGTAAAATGCCTGGCATGGGGAGAGGTTAATAAGAACCCAATGGTTGTGGTGGAATGGGATAAGTGGGGGAGCCAAGGAGCCCCCCAAACAGCTGGGACTGCTGCAGGACAGGAGGCTTTGGTGACCCAAACTGAACGGAGGAAACTTGAAGCATGGATTCTACTTTAATTCCTCTCCATTAATCTCTCAACCCATCTGCTGTACTCCATGAAGACTCCTCTTCAGGTGGGGCCCATTTGCTTCTCATTAAGCTGCAGTGGGGTGGGGGGCAGTTTCTGGGAGCATCAGAGAGGCAGAAGTACAAGGGCTGTTCCCACTGCTGCTATTTCTGGGCACCAGGGCCCCATGCAGGGTACTTTCCTGCAGATAACCATAGACAATAACAGGTTTATGCTGCTCAGGGTTTCACACATGCTTTACAGAGCAGAAGGGTTGGGAGGTCAGGAGGTAGGTGAAGTTAAAGAAATCAAAATGCTGCTTTCAGCTTGAAACAAATGGCCACGGAGCAAAAGGCAGGTGCTGCAGAGCTGATGAAACCACCTGAAATGCATCTGAATAATGAAACCACCTGAAAATATTAAGAGGCCTTTAGGGCTGCTCCCCTTGTTAGCAGCTCCCCAGCACCCTGTGACCCTCAAGGCACTGCAGTGCTGATGGGTTTGACTGGGGGAGGGAGGGAACATTGCAGCACTGGTTGTAGGGCAGGATTTTGCTTTGGTGTGTCTCCCTCTCCTGTGATGCCACCTGTGTCCATGAGAAGAGCAAATATTGTGGGAGTTTGCCCTGGAAGCAGCCACAGGGCAGCCAATCCAAGAAAGCACTGAGCAGGGTCTGCCCAGGCACAGCACGAGGTGTGGCAGAGCAGTGGGTCTGCCGTTTGCTCACCATAACCATCCCAAATCATTGAGATCTATTTACCAAAGGAGCTCCATCTTCTGAGCTCACTGGTAGGAAATGTGCTGGGCACCGGGCAAACCCGCTTCTCTGGTAGGCGCTGTGTGTTCAGGCTTAGGCTGCTGGGAGCCTTTGCGCTCCATTGCTTCCTTTAAAGAGTTGGGCCTCCTAATTTTTTCCACGTCCACCCAGTCTGCCTGCCTTTGTCTCTTTGGCACAAAGGAGCTTCTGTGCATGCCAGAGTGCGTGCTCATCCCCAGCTGGGATGGGGGTGATCCGGTGCGCTCGTTGTGAGCGTGATTCATGTCGGACGTGCAGCAAAACAAAAGAAAAAGGTGTGGAAAATGCAAGTGTGGAGCGTTGCACAAGAGGCTGGAAAGAATTTAGCGGCTTTGATTGATATGGGTCTGCAACGTAGGCCAGGCTTCAATGTCTCCTGCTGTATTTTAATGTGTAGGACCTAAACTTGGGGTGAACCAAACTCACCCAGTGTTCTGTTTGTTGAAAATGGAGCCTTAGGAAACTTCAGAAAGCCCTCAAGATCAAGGGGGGGTTGGGATGGAGGGGATGCAGGGGCAGTGCTGCACATGGGGGAGCAGGGGCTGCTGTGGGGCTGATGCTGAGATGTGGGGCTGGGGGTGTATGGGGTGGGGAGGGGTCTGTCCCAGCGGTTGAATTTCTCAACAAAGCTGCAGCAGGAAATTCCTGTTTATTCCCACATGACTCAGTTTAATTGTTCCTGCTCAGCAGGGAAGAGCAGAGGGGTGGGTTAGCTCTGAGGAAGGGGGGTGGTGGTGGTGGTGGTGAAGTGTTGCACCAAGTGTTCAAGGTGTTGAAATGCAGGTTTTGGGGAGATGGGGGCCTCTGGGGGGACCGAACAGCCTGGGTGTGCTTTGGGGGTTGGAGGATGGAGCCAACACTGTGGTGCCTTTGCCCTGTGCAGCACTGGGAGGCAGTGGCCATCGCAATGAGCTCCTTCTCGGCCTTTTCCCCTCTTTGTCTCCAAGGGCACCTGGTGCTGAGCCCCATTCTGCCTCACTGTAGGCACAAAACACCATTCCCAAACTCTCCCAGAGCCCATTATGCAAAGCACTTTATCACTACATCGATGTCATTATCAGGAATTAAGCTAATTGGAGTAAAAATGCTTTATTTTCCTGTGCTGTCTGGGCATTTCAAGCAAGTTATTTCTGTTGCTGCCTTTTTCGCTGCTAATTCATCGTGACATTAAGGAGCGTAATACATCAGCTTTTCTCTAATACATGTTTCTACTTTTTTTTTTTAACATGTTAATGAGCACATTTAACATATTTCTTCAGAGATAATTGGATTCCGAGGCTCCCTGTGGTATTGCACCCAAAACCAACGAGCAGCGCCTCTAATATCAAAAAGGCTTTCCTGCATTTGAATAATCCCACAATGAAAATTAGGAATTAATCTCCCGGCTGAAACAAGGCTTTCCAGGATACTTTGTTTTGAGGCACTTTTAATACACGTGTTAACCATCATTCTGGAGAATCTTAATTAAACTCTGGAAAGGAAGGACCCACAGAGGGGCACAGGTATTTCGGATTATCTCATCCCCTTAATCCTCCTCATGAAGGCAGGATTTGTCTGCGCTCTGTTTGCTCACAGCTTATCAGGACGGCTGTTTGAATGCAAAGCACAGAAGGCGGTTTTGAGCACGTTGTTTCCTGAAGGGGCAAAGGAGCTTCTGAGTTTCTTTTCTTCTCCCAGATCTGCTTTAGCGTACGATGGCGCGTAGCTCCCGGTGCGCCGTCGCTGTGGTGCTGCACTGAGAGCGTGTAGGAATGCCTGTATCTCATTTTAAGCAAATATTTAGTGATTAGAGATAATAAAAAATAAAAAAAAAACAAAGCTAAGAGAGCAAGAGGAAGGTGAGATGAGATTATCCCGTGTTTTCTGAAGCACTGTCTGCATTCTCCCTGCAACGTCTGCACCAGCAGGAATCAGCGCAGCGCGCACCGCCAGAGGGCGCGCGGTGTGCGCGTGCACAGATTTGTGCGCGTGCACAGACTTGCGCGCGTGCACAGCGGTGCACACAACGGCTGGGAGCGCGCAGGACTTCATCTCTGCTGCTCCCCACCTCTCCCCCATGATGCATCCCGCTATGAGAATTTCTTGGAAAGCTCCTGAGCACAAAGCAGCTCTATCATAGAATCACAGAATCCTGGAATCCTTAGAGGTGGAAGGGTTTGAAGGCCATCTATTCCAACTCCCCTGCAATGAACAGGGACAACACGTCTAGATCAGGTTGCCCACAGTCTTATCCAGCCTTGCCTTGAAAGTCTGCAGGGAAGAAGCATCAACAATATCACAACATAACCTCTTCCAGTGCCTCACCACCCTCACTATAGAAGATTTTTCCTTATATGTAACCTAAATCTACCCTCCCTGAGCTCGAAGCCCTTGTTCTGTTGCCACAGACCCTGCTAAAGAGCCTGATCCCTTCTTTTCTGTAGCTGCCCTTTAGATCCTGAAGGGCTGCTCTCAGATCACCTCACAGCCTTCTCTCTCAGCCTGTCCTTACAGGAGAGGTGTTCCATTCCATGGATCATTTTTGTGGCCCTTCTCTGGACTCTCCATGTCTCTCCTGCACTGAGGACTCCACATCTGGATGCAGTACCCCAGGCTGCTCTTTGTGGCAGCATGCAGAGGCTGGGCAGGTTGTGAGCTCTTTGCTTTTCTCTCCCTGCTGTGTGTTAGGAGCTTGGAGACCACCCCCTCCTCCCCCAACCCAGAGCTGCTTGCTGCCCTCTCCCTTCCCAGCAGCTGGGATGGAGTTGTGCACTCCCTTTGGGCTCACTCTGCTCGGGGCTGAGGGTTTGGTGGGGATTTGAGTCACCTTCTGTGGCTGTGGTGGCAGTGAATCAGCTGTGCTCATTTCAGCTGCTCCCAGTGGTGGTGATGGGGACAATTTCAGTGCCTTTCCCCGTTAGCTTCCTTGCTGCCCAATGCTTCAGAGCGAGAGAGGTCTGTTCTTTTTGCTAGCTGCTTTAGAAGGAAGCTGCAGTGTGGGGTGATGGATTTTGGGGCATGAACCTAATTTCTGCTGCCCGGAACAAAAGAGAACACAGCAGCAC